AAATGGTGCCTGGCTCCTGACTGGTGTCTTTTCCTCAAACTTGTGGGCCCTTTCTCCGGGTCACTTTGCTTTACCTCAGCTAGTTCCCGAGCTTCCACGCTGCCTCCACCAGCAGCGGCAGCGAGAGGAAGGCCAAGCCCAACCTGCCAATCCTCCCCTCTGCTGCTGGCGTCCCTTGAATGCTGACAGCACAGGCCATTGTCTTAGGGCACCGAGATGAAGCAAACTAATGTGTTCATTGGGGTCTCACTGTGTAGCCCAGGAGGATGGCCTCAAAGTGACAGCAACCCTGCCTTGGCCTCCCAAGTACTGGGGAGAGAGGTGTGAGCCACCAAGCTTGGCTTCAGTAACAGTTTTTGAAGGCCGCACCCTGTGAAGCGGTGTGCTTTCTAGATCTCCTTACTGAGAATACGGGGCCCTGAGGGAGAAGCGATGGTACCCGTCAGTCAACAGTGAGAGAGAAGGTCACTGCTGAGACATTTGAGGAGCGTGTTGATGGCTCAGCAACACAGTTAATACATTGAAAAAATAATGTGGAATACTACTGGAAGCTTCCGTGCACGGATATTGGAAATTTTCAGTCTAATACACAAAGTGAAAGTGGCATCAACATTTTCACTTTTGCCAAAGTCTACGCTCTTGGGAGAAACACCTGAGCAGGTAATTTAGTGCTCCAATCCCAGATAAAAGCAAACAGTGCTTCTGTGCCTCTGATCTCCCAATGGGAGCAGGGAAACTGCTGCTCTGAGCTGACAGACCTGAGGTCACTGATGGAGGTGAGTAAAGCCACCCAGGAGCCCAGGATACAGTCACTTCACACATCCCATTCAGGTGCCCACTTCACCCACCCTGCCAGAGAGAGAGGAGGAACCCACTGGGATCTGGAGCCACTCGGGGGAAGGCTGGCTGAGGAGGTCACAGAATTTATATGTCACAGAACATGGCCTGTGATGTGGCCCTGGGAAGTCTCCTAGAAAGAAGTTAGCCCATGCAGGAAGGCCGGTGGAAAGACAGTCTCAGAGACACAGGGAAGGTGCCTTGGGAACTGGGAGATGCCGAGTGCTGGGTTCACAGAGCAGCGACTTCAAGTTCCAGCCAGCAAAAGAGGAAACTACAGACTAGAGAAATGGGTTTGTAGTTAAGAGCGTGTACTGCTCTTGCAGAGGGCCTGAGTTTGAGTCCCTACCCAACATGGGGTGGCCCACAACCAGCTCCAGGGGAAATCGGACACTCACCTCCACAGGCACCTACACTTACAGACATATACATGAAAGTAATTTTTTAAAAGGAAACTACAAGGGGAACAAGGGAACAACCTCCCAAGATCACACAACACATTATGACAGACATGGAGTAAAACCAGCAGAGGAGACTCAGCTTGAGAAACAGCCAGGTTTTATGATGGGAGCATTCTAAAGGGCTTTGGTCAAAGTCAACAATGTTATAACTTGAGATGGCTCAAAAGGTTCAGAGCAGCTTCATTGAACAACCGGGGGACAAAACCCACAGTGGGTGTAGGACCCTTCCCCAAAGTCCCTCTGTCCTGAAGTCCTGTTCAGCCTCCGGCGTCCACTTCTGAGGACACAGCAGAGAGGAGGGAGAAGTAGCCTCTGGGAATGACTGTTGTAGAAACACAGCTCACAAGAGCCACAGGGAGCCCAAGGAAACCAGCAAAATGTAGCTAGTGAGGATGAATGGGCTCAGGAAGGAAGGGACAGCCATGCTGGCAAACCTCATGTCAACAATCTGCCTCTTGACCCACTTGGTGAAATGGGAGGTGCTGGTATAGATGCTTGGGAATCCGCGACGACCACAGCCGAAGTTCCAGCTCACCACCCCCATCTGGATCCAGGTTTTGTTCACCTGGCAAACCAGGGAGCTGCCAGAGGTGTCCTGCAGGGGAAGAGGATGGGGGAGGCTTCAAGTAGCAGCAGTATTTGCTAGGGTAGGCTTTTGTTGTCCCAAGAATGATACCCACCTATGAACCTGTAATGTGACATATAAATTCTGTGCTAAGTTCCAAGCTTGGGACCACATTGGCCTCTGCATTGTTCTGATAGCTCTCTGACTTTTAAGCCCTCCCAAAGTCCTGGTGGGCCTCCAGGGTACGATTGTTGACCTTTCCCACGGCCTTGCTTACAGGGGGGCAACCAGCACCCCTACTTGTGTGCACAGACAGGTGAATGCAGAAAAGTAACATTTACAGTGCCATACACCAAAAGGTAATAGTGGGTTTCTTACAATTTTTAAATTCTCTTTTTATGGATTTGCATTGCCATCCAATGATGGAGTATTCGCCTAGGATGCATGGGACCTTGGACTCTATCTCCAGCATAATGAAAAAAAAAAAGCCTGTCTATATTCCTCTGCAACATTTGAAACTTCATGAACCAGGGAAAGAGTTCAGTATATTTATTTTTAACATAATGCAAAAGATTCCCAGGACATGATGTTCTGAAGAGTATAGAAGACAATTAAGGAAACTAACGATAACGATCTGCCTAAGGACAAGAACGGAGACCTCCACTAATGCACAGAAATGCTGTTGTTTGCTGGTTGTAGTGGTGTGTATGCTTGCTTGTGTGGGGGTATGTGCGCACATGTGTACAAGCTTTCATGTAGAATCCCAAGGCTTATGACTGGAAGCATCTCCGTCACTCCCACCAAATCCAGTGCCTCCCCACCCCCGTCCCATATTGCCAGTCTTATGAGCCAGCTTGCTCTAGGGATCCCATGCCTATACCATCTGAGGCTGGAATTATGCACAGCTTTTGCAGGTTCTGGGGATTCATACCCTGGTTCACACAGTTGGGCAACAAGTACTTTAACCTCTGAGACACTGCCCTATTCCAAAAACAGCATCTTAATTGTATGTGTGAGAGTACAGGAAAGTTCCTTGAAGCTCCAAACTTGAATGGGGAGTGTGGACACTTTCTTTTGGTGTGAAAACATGTATATATTTCAATGGGAAAACGAAAGTTAACCTTCAAAGACTTTACAGTGGAAAGAGAAATTAAATCTATAATTAGATGTAGAAGCAAAAAATGCCACATATTGCAAAGCCCATAGATGTGGCCTAAATGTTGCAAATTTTAGTTAGGGACTTCAAGAAGTTTCATCATCAAACAAAAGAAGGAAAATAAATTATTCATTAACATCAACAATCATTTGTCCATGAACATCAGGCTCAAAAGACTTGAAAAAGAATTAGTAAAGATAATTCATGTATTAGAAAGTAAAGAAATCGTTAAATTGGGAAATGAAGCTGGCAGTGGGGATGACACACAGAATTACCCCGTGGCTTGGATAAGAATAGGGAAGAGAATCTGTACCCAGAAAATGCTCTCTCCCAGAACCGTAAGACTGCTTACAACTTCTATTTTATGGATTTAAATCTGATTGAGGTGAATAACTTCTAAGAAAATGCAAATGATTCAGACTAATTCAAAAAGGGTCAGCGGGCCAGTGGGGTGAAAGCACTTGCAGGCAAGCCTGAAGACCCTGGGACCCACACAGTGGGAGGAGAGAACCAACTAATAGAAGTTGCTCTCTGGGCACCATAGCATGCATGACTCCACCACACACAAACAAATAAATGTAATTAAAAAATTTAAGATTGAAGCAGTGATAGGAAATCTATTGACCCAATAACTATGTGTAAAACAACTTAAAATAGTGTCTAAGAACAATCCCTCAACAGGACACATGTCTGTCCACATCCTCCTGGCAACTTTAATCCAACCTTCAAAAAGGACATAATTTCTGATACTTCAGATGTTCCAAAACATGAACAAATTATTTCCCAACTGAAGTTATTTTCCATAGTTCTCATGCTAGAACTTAACAAAGAGAGTGACTTATTCTAAACACCTTTAAAAAGATTTGCTTATTTTATTTATGTGTATGAGTATTTTGCTTGCATGTGTGTCTGTGCATTGCATATGTGCCTGGTGTCCTCAGAAGTGGGTTCCAGATCCCCTAGAACTGGGGTTATGGATGGTTATCAGCCACCATGTGGGTGCTAGGAAAAAACTGGGGTCCTCTGCAAGCACAAATGCTCCTAACCACTGAGCCATCTCTAAACTTCTTCAACTGGACCCTGGCCTCACTGGAGTGAAAAGGGCACTATGGTTTATTCTACCTGACAACTACTTGTTCCCAGAAGCCAGAACTTTCCCTGGACCTTACTCCAACCTAGAGCCCAGCAGTGTTTGCTGGATGTAAATAAACTAAACCCAACTAGCTGTTTTTCTAGAATGCTGGAAAATCTAGATAATGTTAACAGGTACAAATGCAGCTAAGTTAAAGCCAGAGCCTACATTGTCACTTCACTTAGATTTGTGGGTAAACGTCCCAAAGTCCTAGAAGCAGCAGCAATCAATGTATTCATTTCTTTTCACAGACATTCTGTCAAGCATTAAAAATTTTTCATTTAAATACTGGGGGGGAGGCGTCTGTACATATGTTTCTCTTATTGGTTGATGAATAAAACACTGTTGGCCAATAGGGAAGCAAGATAGGCAGGACTAGGAGACAGAGAGGATTCTGGGAGGTGTAGTCACCATGTAGGATGCGAGCGGAGTAACAGGCCCGGACCCTTTCTCCAGTAAGAGAAGACCACATGGAAATACTTCGATTATTAGAAATGGGTTATTTTAGACAGAGATAGCCAATAAGAAGCCATAGTCAACAGCCAACAGCTTTATAACTAATATAAGTCTTGCACATTCATTTGGGGCAGAGAAGGGCGGTGGGACCTAGCCGGGCCAAGAAAACCTCACGTTACAATATACTTTTTGGTATATAAACCTTTGGTTCAAGAAATAATTATCTTTTTTTTCTAGCAAACAAATATGTTTTCTTATAAAGAATATTGTTGTCTCCCAGAAGAGTTTGGTCTTTTAAATTCAGGAGAGTCAGAGATAAGTCAGAGAGAGTCAGGACTTCAAGAGATAAAGCATGTTCTCAAGAAACTATGAACTGGCTTTTGGGGAGATGGCTCAGCAGTTAAGAGCATTTGTTGCTCTTGCAGAGGACACAGGTTCAGTTCCCAGTGCCTACCTGGAGGCTCACAAACATTTGTATGTAACACCACTTCCAGGGGATTTCATTCCTCTCTGGTCTTTATAAGCACCAGGCATGCACACAGTACACAGACACATATGCAATCTAAACACCTATATGTAATATAAATAAAATATTTTAAATAAAAAATGAAGTATGCGCCGGGCATTGGTGGCGCATGCCTTTAATCCCAGCACTCGGGAGACAGAGGTGGGCGGATCTCTGTGAGTTCAAGGCCAGCCTGGTCTACAGAGCGAGTGCCAGGATAGGCTCCAAAGCTACACAGAGAAACTCTGTCTCAAAAAATCAAAAAAAAAATGAAGTATGCATCTCAAAAACAATATTGACTAGAAGAAGCAAGTGGTTGAAGCTTACGGATGATCCCACTTGTGCAAACGGCCTGCCGGTGCCTATTGCAGACCTGCAGGTATGTAGCTAATACTCAGGAGCATTAAAACGGCTTGTAGAATTGGGCATGGTGGTGCAAGACTTTAATCCCACCACTCCAGCATGCAGAGGCAGGTAGATCTCTGTGAGTTCAAGGCAAGTTTGGTCTAAATGGTGAGTTCTAGGCCAGCCCCGGCTACTCAGTGAGTTCTTCTTTAAAAAATAAAAATAAAAATAAATAAACACAAAGAGTTGTCTAATAGCAGAGACAAAAAAACCATGTCACCCTTGTGGTGTTTTGAATGGGAATGGCCTCCATAGGCTCATGTTTGAATACTTCCTTTGGAAGGATTAGGAGCTGCGGCCTTGTTAGAGCCTCACCACCATCCCCAGTGTGTTCTTTGCTTCTTGTCTGTGATTCCAGATGTGAACGCCCAGCTGCTGCTTCAGAGACAGGCCTGCCTGCCAACTGCCACCAGCCCCTGAAGTGATAGTGATAGACTGCCATTCCTCTAGAGCCATAAGCCCCAGATAAACCCTTTCTTCTGTAAGCCCCAGTCACAGTGTTCTATCACAGTCATTGATAACTAACTAATACAACTTTTTTTTTCCATACTAGAAAATGGAAACTTGCAGGGCATTGGTGGAGCATGCCTTTAATCCCACTACTCAGAAGGCAGAGGCAGCCTGGTCTACAAGAGCTAGTTCCAGGACAGCCTCCAAAGCCACAGGAAAATCCTGTCTGGAAACTACCGCTCCCCCCACCCCCCAAAAAAGAAAAGAAGATTGAAACTCAGACTTTTGTGCTGTGTCTCTGATGGCCACATGAAAAGGAAAGCATGACCCCCATACTGTCTGCTCCCCACCCTGCCTGCATGTTATTCCACACCTGACAAGTGTCCAGGCCCCATTCAGAGCTCGTACACAGCATGTCATTCCCAATGAACTTCTTCTGGTTCTTCTGCAGGAGGAACTGGTACCGATGATTGCAGATTTCATTGTTCACGATCCTAACAGCCAAGCCCTGGAGATTGTAGGGAGTCTTCGGGACCACTACAGAGATGAAGATCTAGTCATGACCTCAACCTTGGAACCTATCTCCAACTCAGAGTCATTTATATTTAATATGCATGTGAGAGTCAGGGTCATGTCCGGAGATACTCATTCATAAAAGCTGCAGTTTGCTTTTCAAAAATGTCCCCACTCATTAAGAAAGTTAAGCCAAGAACTGGGGATGGCACACACCTTTAATCCCAGAACTTGGAAGGTGAAGGCAGGTGAATCTCTGTGTTCGAGACCAGCCTGGTCTACAGAGTGAGTTACAGGACAACCAGAGCTATGTAAAGAGACCCTGCCTCAATAAAACCAGAAAACAAAAAAAGCTAAACTAGTCTCCCAGGGGCATGGAGTGAAAGCCAGGAATGAATGAGAACAAGGAGACATCCCCAACCATTCAGGTTCTGTAAGAATAAGTGTGGGTGCCCTGCTCCTGGAAAAGGTGGCCAGACCCTAGAGGCTAGAAGTGGCGCCTACTGCCTACTAAAAGGTTGGCAGGACTCCAGATGACACCAACAGGGCTGCACCTCTAAGCATTATGGGTGCATATTGACTAAAGAGGCCACCTCGATGCTTCAGACCATATGAGGTCAAAGTCCTCAACGTACCTGCTGTCACAGGTATGAATAGCCAAAGACTTGGTGTAGGATATAACTTAACTTTGGGGGTTGCTGAGGTGGCTTAGCAGGAATGTCAAGCCTGATGACCCAGGGACCATATGATAGAGAGAGGTCAATTCCTTGAAGGTTGCCCTCTGGCCTTCAAGTATACACTGTGGCAATGCACCCACATACACACATATGTAATTAAAAAAAACAATAAATAATTTAAACTTTGGAAACTGAGGTCCTCTCAGGACTCTCGCCTCTACTCGAATACTGCGTATGTCTTTGGGCATATGAATGTGCTCAGGAAATGCTGGCAGATGACAGTAGATGAAGAAGAAGTGACCCCATGACAGCGCTCTGCAGGGTCAGGTGTCCTGAGACCTCTGCTCTACTGCACTTACCTTTAGTCTTTTCTTGTCCCCACCCGATGACCCAACACATGGTGCCAATGGTTGGCTTGAAATTGATGGTGGGGAGACAGATTGGCTGGATGAGGGGGGACCAGGCGACAGGATACTTGAGCTTCAAGATGGCGATGTCGTAAGATATTTGATTGCTGAACTTCTCGTGAATCACAATGCTAGTTAGCAGGAGCTCAGAGCTGTTGTCCGGGAGGTTCTGGACACCCACCTTCACGGTGTAGTTAGCTGGATCTTTGGATCTGCAGGCCCAGAGAAGCAGATCACCAGCAGGAAGGCCATGAATGGCTAGAGAGATAGGGTTCTGAGCACTGGGCTACCTAGGATAATGTCGTCTACTCCCAGATCCCTAGATTCACCACGACCCCCTTCCTCCCACTCTGGGCCTGAGAGCAATGACCCAGGACCAAGATTCCCCCATGGGCTGACCTTTGTAAGCAGTGTGCAGCTGTGAGGACCCAGTGGTGGTGGATGAGGGAGCCGCTGCAGACATACATTCCCAGGAAAAGGATGCTCACCTGCCATGGCCATTTGCCCACTTCCACCACTTTTCCATTTACCACCTTGCAGGATATGTTGGTCTGACCACAGGACCAGAACCAGGGCCCTGAGGAAAGAGGTGAAGAAAGGGATGCAAACGGTAGCCCTTGCTCCACAGGTCAGGGCAGACTGTCAAAGCGTCTCTCAGCCATGTCCCATCTGCACAAGTCAGGGACTGAAGCTACGACCTCAAAAATTGACAACCACAAACCCAGAGGCAGCAGACGACCCCATTATAGAGAAAGCCCCCAGTTGGGTGATGGTGGTGCACACCTTTACTCCCAGCACTCGGGAGGCAGAGGCAGGCAGATCTCTGTGAGTTCAAGACCAGCCTGGTCTACAGAGGTAATTCTAGGACAGCTAGGGCTGTTTCACAGAGAAACCCTGTCTTGAAAAACAAGAAGAAGAAGAAAGAAGAAAGAAGAAAGAAGAGGAAGAAGAGGAAGAAGAGGAAGAAGAAGAGGAGGAGAGGGAGGAGGAGGAGGAGGAGGAGGAGGAGGAGGAGGAGGAAGAGGAGGAGGAAGAGGATCCCCAAATAATGAAACCAGACAACCTGTCTGACACTTGCTTTGAGCTATCACCCCATGACTCATTCCTGCCCATAGTTCACCATATGATTTGGGGAGGAAGAGGAGGAAAGAACCACTAGTGGGGTGAGATAGTCTCCCAAGGGCAAGTGATGGGACCTAGTAGTGTTCAAGACTCCTATTGATTGTATCTAAAATACATGGACAGTGATGTTTTATTGTCCAACTATAGCCATGGCTCATACCCTGGAGACGGGCTCGGCCGCCTCTGGTTGGCCTCAGTAACAGGGATAGGAGGATGAGAGCTTGCATGGATTGGATCTGAGATTGAGATTTTATTTTTGCTCTGCTCTTGTTTTGCTTTTTATTATTTTATTTTTATGTGTATGGGTGTTTTGCTTGTATGTCTGCATACATACAAGAAGCTTTAAGAGGGCATCAGATTCCCTGGAACTGGTGTCACAAACAGTTGTGAGCAGCCTGGCCTGGGTGCTGCCAACCAAACCCCTGACCTCTGGATAAGCAGTCAGCACTCTTAAATGCTAAACCACTGCAGTCCCTGCTTTTTTTTGTTTTGTTTTGTTTTCTTCTTTATTTCTTCTTCTTCTTTTTTTTAATGACAGAGTCTTGTGCAGCCCAGGCTAGCCAACCCAAGGAACCTCCAGGTATATCTCCAAGGATAATAGTCAAATCTTCTTCTTCCTCTCTCTACCTCCTAAGTGCTGGAATTACAGATACCCAGTGAGATTGAGACTTTTTTTTAATGGGACCAGCCTGGATTAGTGTTTAATAATAATTCTTCATTAGGATTTCAAAACTAACAACTGAATACTACAAAAGAGAGAAAGGGAGAATCAGTCTGTAAGTAGCGGCTACAGAACAAGATCAAAGAAACAAGAACTGGGTGTGGTGGCCACACCTTTAATCCCAGCACTGGGGAAGCCGAGGCTGGCCCATCTCTGTGAGCTGGAGGCCAGCCTGGTCCACAGAGTGAAACCCTCTTGAGACTGGAAGGAAGGGAGGGAGGGTTTCTGATGGAGTCTTAAGCTGGTCTGGCTGTTGAACAAGCAATCACTTGTGGTCACTGAGCTCCTCAAACGGGTGGAACTAGATTCAACAGCTACAGCCAAGGCAGCTCTGGGGACCATGGTGGGGATGGTTTGGGGATGATAGGTAACAGTAATATCTACAATAAACTGTATATATTTGCAGAAACATCAAGGAGGTCTTATCTGGTTGAAATCACTGTGGTGTGGATGGAATCTGAGTGCCCGTCCAAGGGTCCGCATGTGAAGAACTGGTCCTCTGGGAGTGATGTACAGAATTGCAATAGATCTTTAAGAGGTGGGGTTTAAGAGTGGGGAGATGACTCCCTGGGTAAGTTCTTGTTGGACAAGCATGAGGACCTAAGTTTGGATTCCAAGCCAGATGGTGGCAGTAACCCCAGTGCTGGAGGACAGAGTCAGGTAGATCCTAGGAGCTCTTCTGGCAGCCAGTCTGACTGAAGCAGGGAGTTCCAAATTCTGAGACCTTGTCTCAGAAAATACAGGGGGGTGGAGTGATTGAGAGGAACACTGTGATGTGAACCTCCAGCCGGCACAGGTGAGCATGTATGCATAGAGGTGTGAGGTCTGGTGGGGGTCGTTAGGTCACTGGGGATATGTCCTCAAAGGACTGTAAGGCCCCACCCAGCCTCTCTGCTTCCTGACTTTACGTAACTACTCATGCCCAGGACAGGCAGTTGCTACCTTCATTAGAGAGCATCTCTCCCAACCCTAACCTCCATCCCGTGTGACAAATCTTTAAACATTGAATTTTGAAAACTGTCAACTAAATATACTTTTCTACTTCATTTGAAGACTGTCTCAGGCATTTTCTTGTTGTTGTTGTTTTGAATGTGTGTGTATGATTTTTTGTTATTGTTTTTTTTTTTTTTGGATGGAGGATTGGTTTTTTGAGACAGGTTTTCACTGTGTAGTATAGTGGCATCTTGCCTTGCCAGTGAACTTGTCATAGTAGCCACACCCTTTGGGCATGGTTTTAGGTGCAGGCGTGACCCCTTTAAGGCTACCTCTGGTCTAGACATTTCAATTCTACCTCTGTTTCAGAGATTTACATATATATATATGTATATAGTTACAAATTTGAGCTCATTGTCCTTGCTACACATCAGTTTTAAGATTGTTTACATTATTTTGGGAAGTTTCAGTCATTGACAATTATGTTTCTGAGAATTACAAGTTATAGTTACCCATGCTTCTTACAATGTTAGTCAGGTTCTATATATGCTCAGAGATATACCCAACATAGATATTTGATCTTCAAACACTTCAAAGACCTACAGATTATGACATTTAAATGTTTTAATGATTTAGAACTCAGCTGACTTGAGACACAATTGCTCCTGACAACACCAAGCTATTCCCAAGGATATGATGAGCACCAATGACACTCCATTTGGAGTTTGTTCTCTTCTTGACTGCTAGCTTCTTGGGCAAAGAACTGCCCCCACCTTGACTGCTGACCTTGGACATGCTGTCCTAACTGGGCTAGCAGGAGATATACTTAAGAGACTGCTAAACCTTGCCAAGTCACGGAAAGACAGTCTTTCAATTTCCCTGCTTCTGTGTTGGTCTGTCAAATACTCTAGGCCTTAGCCAAAGTTGGTTGCCCCAATGTTACTGTAAGACCTTGGGTGACTGTCCAGGTAACCTGCTGTTTCTGTCTTCACTTGCACCTTTAGGAAGTCACATGCTTGCACTTCCTGCCTACCCTAGTAATGTTATTTCCCTTCTCAGGTCTTTGATGAGGTTGTAGACAGTCACAGATAATATCCTTTTATCTTAAATAGGAAATACTAGGTACAAGACTTAGACTTTTCAGATTAGGACAACAATCGGAGTAATGGCTGTCATATTACCCTGGGGCTGGACATGTGGAATGAGTCTATTGCTCATTGTTGCTCTTTCTGGTTGTAGGTCTTAATTTGTGTATGTTTTTACCTTTCCTTCTCGTGGAATATACTTGGCATTTGTTATCATTGTATATGGTTTTTGTATCAGTCTTAAAACCTTCTTCTTTAAACAAAAAGGAGAATTGTAGTGGCTTCTTGTCTTGCCAGTGAACTTGTAGTAGTGGCCACATCCTTTGGGCATGGTTTCAGGTGCAGATAGGACCCCTTTAAGGGAGAGGAGCTTCAGTGCGCTCTCTCTCTCTCTCTCTCTCTCTCTCTCTCTCTCTCTCTCTCTCTGTT